TGTACCCTATTCTCTCTAAACTTTACAACAAGTACCTTGAGGTTTCTTTCCTTCCTGCTTCCTGGGAATCAAAATTCTGTAGTTCCAGTTTTTAAGAACTCAGGCGAAGCATCTGATACTTCTAACTATAGGTCTATTAACCTTGTTGGGATTGCTATGGGTTTGAATTTGGTATCAGAAGGTTGTTATATTAAGATGGTTAGTTTACGGGCATGTTCACCATATTTATCCGCAACAATATAGAATATAGACATTCAAAAAGAAATCAATCAACAAGCAAGTGAGTAAGGAACACCGATTATCAGATTTCAATAAAACAAAATGCATTTATGTACAAATATACAATTTTGAGAATAAAAATTGAGTTGAACTTAAATGGACAAATAAAAATAGGTGCATTTGGCTGTGTAGAATATTATTGTGAATGTTTGAAGGTGTTTGCAATTGCTATTCAGATTTGTTCACAGAATTAAACTAAGTGTTCAGTTACGTACTAAATTGTCCTTTGTGCTAGTTCAGTTATTAGTGTGTGTGCGTAAGTATGTTTGTATAATTGGCAGGAGTTGCGTACCTTTAGTTGTGTGAGAATTTGATTGTTTGTTTACTAATACTTATTAAGTAGTGAGAAGAAAATATCACTTTTCAAAGTATTGTAAGTGATGTTCTTGAGAGAGATAGAGTGTGTTTGTGGATTGTTGAGTCAGATATTTTGCGTGGCAAAGTCCTGGTTGGTCAGAGTTTTGACTTGCGTGGGTCAGTCTGGTATCTCTCTAGGAATGTAGATCGGACTGGTGAATTGGACTGAAATTCGTCCTTTTATTTGATTTGGGAAACCAAAGTAGGCTCCCAGTGACCTGACGGGAAAACAGATTTTTGACCATGGATACACATTCTAGGGTCGTCTCGACCAATAACAAGCCGAGTTTCACAATGTGTGGTGTTGATTGGTCAAAGCTAATTCTGATAGAAGAGTCTATTTTTAACGGGTGTGAGTAGACAAACATTGACGATTCTATAACCTTCTGCCTTTTTTACAAAGTACTAGTGGCTCTAGTTATCTTTGAATTGGTTAAGCCTCTCACATCGCTTTAAGCCTTCTTTAAGGAATATGTATTTCGCTTCTCTATGTCAGCTGCTGATGGGTTAATGATTGTTGCTGAAAGATTCTATTAAGCTTTAAATAAGAATGGCAAAGCTCCGGTTTTTACTTAGGATATCTCGAAGGCATTTGACAGGGTTTGGCATAGTTGTATTCTTCATAACCTGAATGTTTATGTTATTTCTGGATGAATTTTTGAACTCATTCTTTCTTTCTTATCGAATTGCGAAATGAAAGTAGTCTAGAACGGACATTCTTCTAGATCTATTTTCATCAACGGAGGCAGCCTCAATTCTCAATCCTTGGACATACGTCGTTCCAAATCTTCATCAGAGACCTTCATGGTGGCATCGATTCGGTATCTACGACGATGACACAACTATTTACATCTATTTTAATGTTAAATTTAAGCGGTTCGATAAGGTAAATTCGAAGCTGATCTGAAAAATGTTCTATATTCTGCCGTGAACTAGGGCAAGGAATGCTATGTTAATTTTAACGTTATTTTTTTAATCGTCTGAGAGAACTCTTTTTAATTTCCATCAGCTTTAATTAGCGTTGAATTGTTTAAGCATCTCACATCACTTTAAACCTTCTTTAAACAATATGTCTTTCGCTTCTCTAGGTCAACTGCTCATGGGTCAACGATAGCTACTGAAAGACTCTGTTAAGCTTTAGATAAGAATGGCGAAGCTCGGGTTGTTGCTTTGAATATCTCGAAGGCATTTGACTGTGTTTGGCATACTGGTCTCTCTTCAAAAGTTCAAAGGTTATGGTATTTCTGGAAGAATTTTGGAAATGATCCAGTCCTTCTTATCAAATCGCAAAATGAAATATGTCTTATTTGGCGGATAAATATAACAGAGAGAGATAGAGAAAGAAAGATTTAATTAAGAAATATGTTAACAAAGATGGATATGAACAGATATATATATATAGAGATAGATAGATAGATAGATAGATAGATAGATAGATAGATAGATAATGAATGAATTGCGATAGATAGATAGATAGATAGATAGATAGATAGATAGATAGATAGATAGATAGATAATGAATGAATTGCGATAGATACATAGATAGATAGATAGATAGATAGATAATGAATGAATTGCGATAGATAGATAGATAGATAGATAGATAGATAGATAGATAGATAATGAATGAATTGCGATAGATAGATAGATAGATAGATAGATAGATAGATAGATAGATAATGAATGAATTGCGATAGATAGATAGATAGATAGATAGATAATGAATGAATTGCGATAGATAGATAGATAGATAGATAATGAATGAATTGCGATAGATAGATAGATAGATAGATAGATAGATAGATAGATATAAACAGAATATGATAGATAAACAGAATAAGATAGATAGATAGATAAACAGAAT